ACCCGGAGAGCATGCCCCAAGCCTGTCTTCTCCTCCCCAGGTTGCACTGAGACGGCAGCAGGCGCAGGAAGAGGAGCTGGGGATCAGCCACCCCATACCGCTGCCCAGTGCCACCGAGCTCTTCGTGAAGAAGGAGAGCAGTGGCGGCAGCCCCTGCATCCTGTGGGAGAGTCGTTGTCTGTTGCACCTGCCTGCAGTTTCGCCTTCCTCTCCTGTCTCAGAGCGGGGGACAGTGGGGAGCCCCGTGGCCCAGAGCGCTACTGGGCTGCTGGCATGGTTAGCAAACGGGGGCAGCCCAGGATCCATCTTTTCCTATCTCCTCTTAAACATACTACTTTTACTTGGAAATCAAAGTCAGTTTGGATCAGCCTAGTGCCATGATTGAATTTTGTGGGGTGCATACCTGCCGGTAGTGATTTTTGAGGAGCTTTTCGCCCTTTCCCCAGATTTTCGCCCTTTCCTGTGCTCCTGCCGTGGTCCTGGCAACTCCTTGTTGCCTGGGTGCGTAGCTGCTTCAAAACTGGGGAGGTTTGAGCACTGCGTGGCACCTAAGCGTGGTAGTGTCGTTACCCCAGCATCGAAGAGCTGTCCACCCCGTGAGACCTGATACAGTGGTACGTCTGTTCTGCCTGGCCAGGTGTGATGCACCCCAAAGGACCAGCTCAGCCCTTCACCTCTGCACCTTGCTGCGTTACACTTACTGCTGAGTTTTGAAAAACAAACAAAAAGCTGAATTTGTCTGCCGATTTAGTAAAACCATGGCTAAGGACGACTATGACTTAAAAGGGGCTGAAGACTCTGGGCAAGATGCTTTTTCTGTATAGAACTTATGCCTGATAGAAATAGCAGTTAGGTGTACCTAAAAAAGAAACTGACATCGTTGACTTCTGTTTACATGTAGACACAGAAATGGCAAACAAATACAGAGAAAAGGAAAGGTAAATTTCTTTTGTTTTTAATCATCTGTGCTGATGCCAATAATACAGGTAAATAGACTTTCTGGTTAAACACAACACTTCTAAAATGGACAGCACCTTGTGTTAACTAACAAAAGAGCAGTGTATGTGTCTGTCAAACACCATTACTCTGTTTCCAGGCCGTTTAAAGCCTAATTCCTGGGCTTGTCAGATGGATATGTTGTGGACAGGCAGTTTCGGCCCCATGCGGGTTTTAGAAGAACTGGTTAATAAAAAAAAGTGGGTTTTATTTGTTTTTTGTTGTTGTTGTTTTCGTTATTGCAGCCATATTAGTATCATCTTCGAATCAACACAATTACTCCTTTAATATTTGGATTACTGCAGTCTTTATCTGCAGACATGGGTAAAGATTAAAGTAGTATATTCAGTAACGTACAGAGACTGTGCCTAACTCAGGAGAATAAGAACACCTTTGCTTCGGCAGCAAAAGAATGAAATTTTTTTACAGTCAACAAAATTTCCATAAGCTTTGATCTTAACATGTTAAAAGTGTCAATGGAGGTACTTAATCTCTTAACACTGCTTTAATAATTTTTTATTAAATTGAATTAAGTGAATGCTTTTTAAGGAAGAGCATTCATTAAACAAGTTGAAGGCAATATTGTGCTTGATTAAAGACTAGAAAACATGAAAATTGCTAATTTTGAAGTCGTTTGAATGGTTTAGAAATTTTTCTTAAAAGTAATTGTAAATGCTTTGCAGTCATCTTTCTTACAGTGGGTTTTTCTTTGCTAGCAATACATATATATTGTTTCTTAAGCATTTTACTAAATGCAGGTGACAACGGTGAAAGTACACACTTCATCTCCAGAAGGAAGATTTGATTCCAGCCAAGAATAAGACACGATCAGCTTTGTTTACTAGAAATAAATGAATCTGGGGGAGAATAGGAAACTGCGTTCTTAATTTTGTTGTTCAGCACCTAAATAACAACAGAAATTCATGCCTGGCTTGAAAGTGACTGCACTGCATGGAGCTCTGGCCCCACTAACTTTAATAGGACCATCTACTGAATTCAGTGTAACTACTCATGAGTGTGGATTTCATGCCACCAACGAATGTGAGCAGCATCTGCAGCTACCCTGATTTCAGGAGGTGCTGTGCATTCAGAGTGACTTTATCAGGTGTCAGAATATAGACTTAACATTTAAAAGTCTTTATTTTCCAGTGAGGAATACTGTTCAAGTCTGTAGAGCATACTTTGCCTTTTTATTCCTAAAAGACTTAGAGATGCATAAGTATCTGTGTGTATATGCTGAAGCTTTCTTTTCTACTATATCTTTTGTTAGCTGAGAAATTGCAAAGTGTAACGTGACATGAAGTCATTGACTTAAGCATCAGACTGTTTCAGGTCCAGGATTCTTGTATTGCTCTTTTATCGTTTTCCTGTTACCCTCAACTGCAAGCAAAATGAGAGATCATATTTTTAGTCAAAGTGGGAGAAAGGACGGTGCGGGTTATTAGAATTTGGGGGACGATGACACAGAAGCAGAGACCGTGGGAAGCGGCTCCGTCACGGGAGGTTTTGTAACCGGCCAGCGCCAGAGTGAGTGTCGCCGCGTCTTAGTTTGATAGGCGAAGTGATATTTGTATATACAGGTGCGGATTTTCTGGGAGTTTACTGTTTACAATTGGGCGGAGAGAGTGATGCTCTTCCTCCAACCGGGAGTCAGCAGCTCGTGGCGAGCCCTGGAGAAACCAGGGGCGCTGGGGAGCGCAGCCTTCCCTGAGCGATGCCAGCGAGGCTGGGCAAGAGCTGATTTTGACAGCAGCAGTTCTCTTCCTTGTGCAAGTTTTTTTGGCTTCACAGGAGTAGTTTTTCTTTCGAGCACCGTCGCGCCGAGCACCGTTTGCTGCTAGAGGAGGAAGGCGTGCAGGGGTCACACCGATCGGGCACAGGGCCAGGGAGAGGGTCTTTTCTCCCTGTGTCCATTGTACCGGCAGGTCAGAAATATTGTGACACCTGGAGAGACCAGCGACCGTTTTTCAGATCCCGTTGTGACACGCTGTTCTTTGTGTAGGGGAAGAACGAGTGATCGTGCTCACAGCATAGCGACTTGTCCGTTTGCCATTTCAGGCTTAGAAACCCATATTTACTTTGGGAGGAGCTTATCTTCCACAGTCAATTTTTAGGGAAGCAATCTGGGAACGTTTAGGGTAGTTGGAAAGGGAGCAGGCCAGGCTCACAGGACATGTGCAAAACCCCTTGCAGACAGGTTTTGTAATTTCTGGGCAGTTTCCCTAGTGAAATTGCAGGTGGTTTGAAAGCTATGGCCATTTATTGTACAGCACTGCAAACATCATGATCCTGGGGCATTTAAAGCAGTTGCCCTTCTTCATGGAAGGTAAGTACTTTTTGTTAGGTTAGTTAGTGGGTAAAACTCAAGAAAAGACTACAGTGAGGTATTTAAAACATACCTTTCAGATACCCTCATTTCAGACTTTTTAAAACATAGGTTCTTCTGGGTTCCACACAAGGTTGATATCTCTGCAATTTTAATATGTAGAAATCACTGAAGTTAAAAAAAACAACCTGTGATCGTGAAACAACTTAGAGTGAGAGCTGTTCAAACTGAAGGAAGACGACTTAAAACATTTCACGTTTCTTCCTTTTTATTTTATCCTTATCCCAGATTAAGGCTTATCATTATCTTTTGGCAGATGGGATGGAAGGGCTGCAACATGCATCGTGGAATAACTGGAAAGTGCCCTTGGTTCTGCCACTCTGTGCTCATATTGGACCAATTTAGAAGCAGCCAATATACACAGAATTATTGTATGTTCATACATACCAGGTCCTACTTTTGTATCCTCTGGCAATCCATTTTTCTGTTGGCTTTTCTATAACCATAATAATGGCATTGTTTACATGCCTTCATAGTATCAATGGTTGACAGGTTAAACATATTATTATCAGCAATTATGAGTAATAAGTTTACAGTTATTATTTCCCTTTGCTACATTTATTATGGATGATGGAAACAAAATAGTGTGTTTTTTACATTTCTCTAGGTGGACTCTTCCTCCACTTGGAAACTTTGTGGGACAAGTGGAGTTTTATCTAATAATAAATAGGGATTATAGAGGGACCAGTGGTAACATGATGGCTAATGAATGATGATATTGAGATCCCTTTGAACTTAGTGGCCTAGATTCTTTTGCAAACCCTGCCTTGCCTTCTTTTCTCTTCCTTTACTTTTTTTTGCTGTTATCTTTTCAGCATATTTATGCCTAAATAGGTGTTCTGTTTTGCATTGATCTTTCCTGTGATGCTGCACTATGTTTCAAAAATTGATGCCACAAATTTGCAACCATTGTTGGGCTACATGAGTAATAAGTGAAAAAAAAAGCTATTATAATTGGAAGACATAATTCTTAAAAAAAAAGAAAAGAAAAGAAAATTTTCTTTTTGAAAGAAAATCCTTTCCATTTTTGACATTATAATGTCATATCCTGCCAACATTTACACTTTTGCAAAAAAGTCTTATTCTAGTCAGCTGTTCGACAGCATGGGGGACCTGTCTTGGAAATTTCACCATCAGTGTGCTTAAGCACTGGAACAGGTTGTCCAGAGAGACTGTGGAATCACTGTGCTTAGAGAGACGCAACCTGACCTAACTTTGAAGCTGGCCGAGCTTTGAGCAGGAGTTTGAGCCAGCTGGACTCCAGAGGTCCTTTCCAACTTAAATTATGCTGTGATTCTATGAAATGCCTACTTTTTCAGGTCTTTGATGTTGACATTAAGTCAACATATTTGAAATTGTCATTTCATTTGGCCAGCCTCAATACTGATCAGCATATGCAAGCCTAGGAATGAAGTCCAGACTCTTCTGACCTAAAAAGACTCAGTGACTAAATGTATTTTGGATTTCCAGCAGGCAGTGTGCAGCATGGGAGTTGGCAGATGGATTGCTAGTTAGATGGCAGCAGCCTCGGTAGGGCTAAGCTGGAAGGAGAAGGAGCTGCTCAGCTGCTTTGCCTGCGTGTCAGGGCTGACAGGATGGCTATTTGTCCTCAGAGGTCTTGGTGGATCTGCTGTGGTCACTGCTCCGTCATCCTGCTCTTCACTCCTGTGGTCCTCTCCTCCTCCTTGCTTCTTAATGATGATTTTCTGCTGCTGCGCCTGCTGCCAGTGCTTCACTCCATTGCTGTCTGCCTCTGACCCTTCCTGGTCCTGCTGACTCTCCGCAATGTCCAGA